AGAGCATCGTAGCTACAGGGATACAGGAATGTGCAGGAGAGTTAAATCTTCTGAAATGGCTACTACATACTGACTGAAGTGTGAGATGTATAGTGTCTGTATGTATGTTTTTAGCTGTGAAAAACTACAAGGTCAGCACAAGAAATGGCTAACTCCTCTCTGGATTTATGTATTCTACAATTAGCATACCAAAACTTTCAAATACATTTTGTTTACTGGGAGGTGACACACATAGATCAATTGCAAAGGTATTTTGCAGTTAAACCCTTATAAAATTCTTAATACCATTTTAAAATACCTGTTGAAAACCAGCCGAAGATGTAGATTTTGCTCTGTGTTCTAAGTTTTTTCATTCCAAAATGTAACTTGAGCACCAAAGTGTTTGCTCATTTACTGCCATCTGGTACTGAGAACCTCTTTGGACTCACTAGTAGTTCAAGGCTATCTGGCCCCAAAGGCAAGTGACTCTACATAGTCTGAGCAGTGTTTGGTGAAGGCTCGTGAGGTATAGCCTTCAGTGTTTTCATAATTGTTCTCAGAATGTTACAAATACCTGTTTAAAGTCACATGCCATACAGATTTTTTTCAGCAGTTTTGCTCTACTGCAGTTGTTAAGACTGTGATAATTCCATCTTTATCAGAAATGATTAAGATATATGCAGAACTTGTTTAAAACAAGAGACACTTTCTAAGTCTCAGTAGTTCCAATTAGTCAATAATGCCATAATGCTACGTGATTTTGTTTTTCTTCAGGACATGGTAACATTGCAGTTGTGGCCTAAGATGCACAGTGCTCTATTTTTAGTTTTTCTTTTCTCTTATGCCCCAGTCTCATGAGAGTTGAAATGAATTTATTTTTCTCTGCTTAGCAAGTAGGTACCAATGGCAGTCGTCAAGTTAAAAGTTAACAGCATAACTGCTAGATTTTCCAGCCCATGCCAGTTGTCATAGTGTCTCATTTCTGTGGATGTTAACAGGTCTTGAGTGAGGAGCAATGGGTAAATTTTCAAATAAGCTGCAGCTAAGTTCAGTGTGCAGCTGTGCCTCAGCCTGAGGAGAGTCCCTATCTGGAGGCAATTACCCCAGCTAGAATAAAACAAAAGCATTGTTAAGCAACTGAAAAAGGGATTACCAAAGGTGTTCATTGAGTGCATTTGACACCTTGGAGGGCTCTTAAGGCATGAGGGTGTGTGGAACACCAAAATGCTTTGTCATAGGCTTTAAATTACACATTTGCTTCCTGAGGCAAAAAGAAACCAAAGTCACAACCCTAAATATTCTGGATTGGATGTTTTAAATTAGTTGCTATGGCTTTTGTCTGTATCTTTATTTATTTTGTTTCCCCCTCATGTAAATATGAAAATAATGCACTCATCAAAGTGTAGCAGGACAAGATGAGGTTTTGGGAGATGTCCTGTAATTTAAGTCTATACATGCAGGGAACAGACCTTGTCTTACAGAGAAAACTTGTGCATTTCAGTCAAGTTAGGAAGGCAATATAAAGTTAGATATTTCATGGAAGTGGAAGTAGTTCAGGCTGGTTGATGCCTGTTGGTCTATGGTTTTCAGAATGAAAGCCTGCAATTCCTAGAATCTAAAATTTACTGAAGCATTTTTAAACTAATTCTAACTGGCTTTGTTTAATTTTAGATCTAGCTCAAACAGATTCATTTTATTGTAGAAAAAGCAGCGTTTCTCAGCCAGTGAGGTGTTGTGAAGACATAAAGGACTCCCTGTCCAGGAACAGTGCTGAAAATAGTCATCTGTATTTTTAAAGTTTCTGGGGTTTTTATAAGTCACTGATGAAATCAGATACAAGCATTAAACTACATGGGTTAAGTGTTGCAATGTGACGTTATTTTGTGGACAGCAAACATACAAGAGTAGAAAAATCATACCCATCAGAGAATATTTACGTTCTTAGTTGAAAATATGATTTTTTTCTTAATATTTTAAATAGATTTTATTGCTGCCAAGTGCATTTTAAGGCCATGCCTTCATGGAATTACACAAGCAATTTATAAATTTTTAATCCTGTATTGAGGATTTAGGTCGCTCTATACTTGAAAGAGATGCTTCTTTTTGTAGATTGATAACTTGTTTCTGGTTGACTAAGGCCATCCAATCTCCTAATGAAAATTCCATGTTATCAGCATAATTTTGATCTACTTTTTACATATATACACACTTAGAGGTAAGATATGCTACTAACACTGGAGACAGAATTTATTTTTCTGAACGTTAGCTGACATCACCACTCACAGTTGGCACAGGAACGGGCGAAGGAAATCTTTACAAATATGTACTTGAAAGTGGTTTTATTGATCTCTGGCAGCATTTTATCATACTTGTGTGTGTTTAATTCTTTATTTGATATATGGATGGTAAGCATGGACTAGCAAATTCCACATAGTTCACAGTTTGCTTTAGAAAGCAACTGTTCCAAAGTTTATGGGACTCTGAGGTGTCACTGCCTTTGTCTGGGAGGTGTCTGCTGGCTGATTCTTTTTTCTCACATGTGTTCCCCAGAGATGACAGACTTTTTACACTTCTGTACATGTTACAGTTGCTCATAAGAAATACTTCTGCAAACATTATTTCACTTCAGGAAGAGTCCCATTTGTTTGTTTTTACTGGATTTCTCATCAGGGTGTGCCGGGAGAAGTGTTGTGGCTCATAGCACTGATGGTAGTGGTTTACTGCTTTCCTCCTCCCACGTATCTGTTTGTGTGAAGTTACTAACTTGAAAGCACAGCCACTAAGGTCACTGGATTTGGAGGCCTATAGTGAGAAGAGACCAAGATCTAACACAAAAAAAATTTGGAGTCTTTCTGGTTGTGAACTCCTGAACAGCAAAAGCAATGTTGGGATTGTTCCCTCTGCAGGAAGAGGAGAGGAATTGAGTATATGAGATTGGTGAAACCATATATACCATTCAAGGGTCAGTCCTGTCTTTAGGTCTGAATTAATTTCACCTTGAATAGTGCTATGAGTAACAGTCAGTTTTGGCACTATAAATATTTAAGTGTGACATCCATGAAGTGCTCACACACCGGATGTCTGCTTGACTTTCCTGTAGTTTCAGGAATTGTTTAGAGCAAGAAGGCCCAGATTTTATTTTATGTACACACATATGCATGCATGTGTACATATGTGTACATACATAGTTATTAGCCTAAATTTGAGTTGAAAGGAAATAGATTCCACCAATAGGACAACAGACACTAATCATATTTGGTGTGTTACTGTAGATATTCATGTGACCTTGCACACCTAGCATGCTTTTTTGTTTACTCTGAAGAGAAATATTCTGTCTTCTCTGCCAAAAAAACAGAATTATAGTTTAAATATTCCTTATGTGTGTCTGAAGTTCTTTGCTACATGTAGAACTGTCACAGTGTAGTCTTGAGGAATTAAAATATATTGCTGCATGCAGGCCTTAGTGGCCTGTTGAGATTCTCACATTTTCTAATCAACTGGGACAGCTTTTTCCTTAGGTTTACTGGAGTAAACTGTTATTTTTGCAGAGCTTGTGATTCATGAAACATATGGAGGGCAAACACAATTTTTAAAGCAATTTATTTTAAATAATAAAAATTATAGCAGTGATATGGTAATTAGAGAGGTTTCAGTGTTAGCAGATGTACTAGGAAAGTCATTTAGTGAGAAAAGTATAAGCAAAGCAATTAAATTTGCATAAGAAATGCAGCAGAATAACACAAGTCTACAGATAACTTTATGGGCTTTATATGTGATATGCATACATCTTCCAGAGTGTGTATATGCATATTTTAAGACTGTAAAGAAAATTGAAGAACCAGATGACTCAGCTCGGTAACTGAAGAGAGAAATATGGCAAGAATAAAAATGAGACACCTTGCTGAGACAGTGTGTGCAAGAGAGTGGTTAGATTTGTTTTCTTTTGCATACTGTGTAGCTAAGTAATAAAATTGATTTCTTCAGGACCACTGATCCATTGCCTTTCACATATATGGCTCCAAAATCCATGATTATCTGTTAGGACTGAATATAATAATAATAAAACAATTTCTGAAAGTTTACCAGCAATACCGTGTAAAAGTTCTTTGAAGTCCTCGATAAGTAAAGTTTACATTTTTGAGAAGACAGCCACCAAATACAAAGAATCTTGGTTACAAAACCCACAAATAATCGATACCTTAATTTTTGCTTTTTCTAATGGGCTTGCAGGGTATTTGGAGTTTAGTTAAAAGAAGCAATCATAGGTCTCCCTGCTCCAAAGTACACTTTTGGTGTTCCTTTTTGATCTGTGATCCATAAAGCATCTAATCAGGAATGTAGAGACTTTATATAAACAGCCACTTTTTGTTGCCTTATATATCAGTATTTTTCCAAATGCCATGGATCAACTAAGTGTTTTCTTGGAACCAAAACACTCTGGGATGTCTTTCCCTTTGGTGTATGCATGTGCTTTCAGAATAGGGTGTCTATTTCATATTTTTGCAGGTTAGAAAAACCTAAAAATATTCATAACTACCTAAAGAGTTGTGTTGCTGGGGTTTCTTTTAGAAATGTGAACGCATTAAAGACCTTTCAAATCACAAAATCCCAAATTCTGTTTACAAGTTTGAAGAGAAAGGTTTTCATGTGGTGTTGAAAGTGTAGAGTTGACACAGTTGCTTTGTGTTGCATGTTATTTAAGAATTTGTGTCATTATTTTGCTTGACACCTTGCAATGATTTACTATTTCACACCTGGCATGCATGGAATTTCCATAAAGAGGTGTGATGATTTCAAATGAAAGGGCTAGCACAGAAATCTCAGTAACACCGTAATCTCAGAATACTCTTGTGTTTCCTACCTTTCAGTTCTTTGGAGAGTAGGAGAAGAGAATTTCCAGCATTTATCCTTGGAAGTTACTTTTAATTGTTTCTGGGTTGCATACTGGAAATTGCATTAAGTTTTAATTTTGTCTGGTGTTAAGAAACTAAAGGAAACATTCTGTTGTATATCTATACCAGCAAACAGTTCGTGAAGATACAAGTTTTGTGATGACTGAAACTGTGACTGTGGAAACCACTCATGTGCCTTCTACATACCTGGCAGAGATCCTTCACCTTCTGCAGGCCTTGTCTGAAGTAGAAGAGCGCCTTAATTCTTCTGTTCTGAAGGCTAAGGATTGTGAGGATCTCTTCAAACAAGAGGAGTGTCTCAAGGTAAGCTAGAAAGATTTTCTTACAGTGGTTGGATTCCATCATTTTTGGTCTTCTGGATACTGCCTGCCTGCACTCCTTCTGAGATGTCTCTTTAAAAAGTGCTCAGCCCCATTCTGGAATGTCTGTTCATATGGATGTTTATATATGAAGGCCCATTGGTACAGAATATAAGAACACTGGAGTGTTTGTTTATATTTATCTGATTCACCTGTATTTGGATGATGAGAGCATTAGGGTATCTGCAGAGTATGTCCTTGAATGGAAGAGAAGCGATGGAGGGGGACACACAGAATTTGTGTTTCAAATTTGTTTGTGTGTGGATAATAGGAAAAGTTGGTTATCAAGCATTGGAAAAGGCTGCCCAGGGAAGTGGCTGAGCCAGCAGCCCTGGAGGTGTTTGGATGTGTAGATGTGGCACTTTGGGACGCAGTTCAGTGGTGGACTCAGTCCTGCTGCGTCAATGCTTGGACATGATTAGGTCTTTCCAGCCTAAATGGTTCTATGATTGGTAATTTAAAGCAATTACTAATTAACCCTGTCCATACCCAATCTTGAATGCTTTATTTTAGTCTATGATTTTTTAAATTATTTTTATTGGAACAGCAACAAAACCAAGCAAAATTTAGTTCCTGTGTTCCATGTTAGATATAAAAGCTTGAAGTCTGATTGGGTCTGTGCTCTGTGCAGTTATTATATTTTAATTAGTTAAACAGGTAATATTATCCAGTGGGCAGATAATGCAGTTAACAAAAAGCCACTTCAGTATGGTTAGTATCACTTTAAATACTACTCTCTGTTTTCTTCAATGCTTTCAACAGTGAAATCCTTTGAAATTGGTGGAAGTTTTCCAACACAGAATTGACATAAGAAGAGAATAAGATTAAAGTTGTAAGCCTAAGTAGATGAATGAGTTATCAGCTTTTGCAGAATAATGTTTGCATGAGGAAAGCCTTGTAAAAAATCATGCTCAAGTGCTGTATATAATTACAGCAATTCCAAATTGTCATCCAGCATGAAGAGAAGGCTACATTCCCATTTTCCTGTGATTATTTTGGGGAAAGGAACGATTTTTAAAAAGTAAACATTAGGCTAAAGAGGCTAGAATTTGCCTACAGTCAGCTCTAAGAAAGAAGCTTAGAGGGAGAATCAGGGCAGTGGCTAAGTGCTCAGAATTTTCCTCTGCAGAAGCCCATTTATCTCTTTCCACATCAGAGAAAATGTAACCACATCCATAAGCTGTTATTAGCTTCTGTGAAATCACATCTCTTTCTAATTCTTATACATACATAGATCTTACACATTTTAGGAGCCTCTGTACACACATGTGCACACACAGAAATATCCTTGTTAGCTCCTGAAAATCAGGGTGTCTTCAGTTCCCTAGCAAGGCAGTATAGTATGTGTAGTGAAGCATAACAGAGAAGTTTTGGGTCAAAGGAAGCAAATAACTGATAATAGGATGGTGTGAAATAACAGTGCCCATTTCTTTTACTACTCCTGGTTTGGTACCGGTCGATTGAAGTCGTTCTGAGTATTGGAGCACACAACATGCCAATGTTATTGTCAGTCTTCATTTGAAACAATTTCTTCTGTGCAGAAAAAGTCATAGACCATGTAAATTATGGCTAATGAGCCCCTACTTGCTCCTTGTGGATGAACTTGTGTTCATTAATGGATTAGGTGGAGAAGCAGTGACTACCTCGAGCCGTTTACTGGCAGCTGAGTTCCTTTTGGTTCTTCTTGCTGCTTCACATTTGGGCTAGCTTGAGCTGATTTATATCCATAACTAATCTGTTGTTCACCCACATATATTTGGTATTATTGGAGTTGACACCAACTTTAATAATATTGATTACTGAGGTTACAAGTAAGTACTGCCATAGGTTTAATTTAACTGAACTATTAAATTGTTATGAGATGCATTTGCGGGCACAGTTCCATCTTCCTTCCAAATAAATCTCTTAGAAGAGGCAAATGGGTCTTGCACATCCGTGGGCTTTTGGAAGGGTATAGTTTTGATCTGAGCCTGCTTAATGAATATTTATTTCCAAGGAAAAGCATCCATCATTGTCATTATCCTGCAGTAAAAATAGAAAAGTAGTGCATAAATTGTTCAGCAGCTGGTTGGGAAAGGTTTGAAATTAAATTGTGGTTGATTTTTTTTCCCTGACAGATTTGCATGAATCAAATTACAGAACTGTCATGAATAGCTCTGTGTTTTAAAACTGAGCTTTTGATTTGTTTTCCACTCCCATTCAGAAAGAATCCATTTTAATTAATCCTTAAAAGGAAAAATAAGTTTATTTACTATTGTGGTATCAGTGGTAACAGCTTTGAACATTTTTCTCCAAAGTAAATAACTATAGTAAGACAACCATGATTGCTCATTATCAACTAAGATAAATATCAAATACAATTTATAAATTGCTAATATCAATTGTTACAGATAATTTGAGCACTGACTTTTTATATCAAAGGCATGTGAAATAAAAATACAAGGCTTTGCAGCAAAAGAAAATTGGGTAGCTTCCCACATTTAGAAAATTGTAATGCTTTTATGAGCACATTTAGTAAATCTGGTGAAACCAGCTCAGAAGAATGTTCATAATAACATAAGTTCTGTACATTTTAAGCTTTAGGGAGTAGAAAAAACAGACAGAGATACCAAGTCTTGTCACTTTATCTCCTAAAGTCAGCATTGCAATGTTTTCGTTATCTTATTACAAGCTCTTTTATGTATCAGGACATACAGTACCTCAGTTTTTCTTCAACACTGTACTGGCAGTTTTTAGCAAACAATTTATATATTACAGTTGTGTCAAAGATGTAACTCACGTTGATTGTAAGGAAAATCAGAGTTCATGGACCAATGGATTAGTAAATTTGGCCTGATGTACTCTCAAAATAGGACAAGATTTTTTTATAAGCAGAAACATTACGGTACTTCTCTCTGCTACTGATGATGTTCATATTGATGGAATTCACAATCTTTGAGTTACCAATTTAGAATTGGTTGTAATTACAATGGATTTCATTACATGATCAAATTTAAGGATCAAATGCCTTCAGAATTTAGCTAATTATCCTTCCTTACAATGGATGTTTCAAGTATGTCCTGAAAGTTAAATTAATGTAAAAAATTGCGTATTTTCAACTGAATCTGTTTATATTGCTCATACTAGGAGAGGGTGTTCCTGTGTAGTGATTATCTCTTGCAAGCTATTTGACTTGTTCAAACACCAGATTATTTAGTGGGAGATGTAGATGCTAAAATAAATACATTGATTAACCAGAGAAGTAAAGCTAACACATACTTCTGTTTGCTAACACAGAGCAAAACTAAGTGTGATAAAATCATAGCATCATAGAATCAGCCGCGTTGGAAAAGACCAACCCTACCGTGGTCACTAGCCCATGGCACTAAGTGCCACATCCAGTCTCAGCCTAAAAACCTCCAGGGATGGTGAATCCACCACCTCCCTGGGCAGCACATTCCAATGCCTGAGCACTCTCTCCAGAAAAAATCTCTTCCTAATATCCAACCTAACCCTCCCCTGGCAGAGCTTGAGTCTGTGCCCTCTTGTCCTGCTGCTGGTTGCCTGGGAGAAGAGACCAACCCCCACCTGACTCCAACCTCCTGTCAGGGAGTTGCAGAGGGTGAGAAGGTCTCCCCTGAGCCTTCTCTTCTCCAGGCTGAACACCCCCAGCTCCCTCAGCCTCTCCTCATGGCACTTGTGCTCCAGTCCCTTCCCCAGCCTCATTGCTCTTCTCTGGACACTGTACATGGAATTTAGAAGTCTAATTTGCATTTGTTGTCATACATGAGTGTCTTAAGTAGACTGTCATGTCATTCTCACTGTCATAGTCATGGTATAGTCATGCCTATTGATTACTTTATTCTGTTAACAGTGATTTCAAAACTGTTTTTCTGCTGCAACCCTGCAGTAGGGCCCATATATATTAGAGTTTCTTCTTTTTTTTTCTTAATATTCTTAATTTTGGCAGGAACATTTCATTGTAGAGTATGATTCTACATTTAGCTATAATATTTTTCAATGATGTAATAGTTTTAATATGGAAAGCCATCTGGCTCATTGAGAAAGAGGTTTCTTATATATGTATAACTTCTTGCATAATCACTCTAGCAATTCCTTTTCCAGTTCATCTTCTTGTGTATTTCCAGTAGGGTCTTTATTTAGTTCATTAAAAACTGGGTTGGTTTCTGTTGGTTTTTAAATACAGATATTTTAATGTTCTGATTTATTTTTTCTCTCTTTTTTTGTCCTTTGTTTGAAAATCTTCATCTACTGATAGAACGGGTTTTTTGCACTGCTTTCTGCTGTGTCTGGGAATTTTCTGGACACAATACATATCCATTATTCTAGCAGCTGAAACCCCCTTTCCAAATGGTTTATTAAGCCAAAATACCCATACCATATATTGAAACTCATCATTCTATACAGATTTTAAAATTGTAATTAATTTGTGGATTATTTCCCAGCTATTCATGATTACTAACAACTGGTTTTCATGTTAGTTCAAAAAGCATGAAATACTGTAATGAATCTGCTATACATATAATTATAAAGCATCATTCTGCAAATGTTTGGAGTGGTAAAAAATGTATTTTTATTTTGCACATTGGAATATATATTTAGTGTGCATTAAGAGATTCTTATCAAGAAACATCAGATAATGTGAAATTCAGAGTGGTTTTCTGCTGCAGCTCAATGAAATCCAATTAACCGTAGCTCAGAACTGAGTGTGCTCAAAGGCACTCTCCAAATAGATCTGTCAGTAACACTGTGCTTGCTGACAGATTCGGTCACAAATAGCCAAGGAACTGAATTTTTACAGGAAGTTTCTCTGGCAGATAAAGACAAATTCCGGGTAGTGAAAATGAACTAGTGTTTGAGTCTCTTGCACTCAGATTTCTCTTTAAGAGCAATGAGATGGATCATTCCCTAAAGGCTACTGTCACTTCAGCTGCTAATGATTTTCTGTTATCCTTTTTTTTCTTAAAAATTAAAGCTTTGTGCACTTCTGTTAACCATGTTACAAAATCTCCCAAGGCATTGTTGATAACTGACTGCTTGAAGCTATTCTCTTCAACATGAAAGATAGATGGGTATATGTGTGAGACACATGGATTTGTGCAGACACATATACACATGATCTCTCTTTTTTTTTCTCTTAGACATTCTTATACTTACAGAACATCAGCTGTATTATCTTGCTCTGTCTGTAGGAGCTGGGCTCTAAAGAAAAGCAAAAAATCTGGCATAGAAATTGTACGCCTGTTCATACACCATGAGTTTTAAACATTAAAAGGATAGGTCATTTATCAGTTCTGAAATGCATAAATGTATTTAATCTATTTTTGATATTTAGAAAGTTGATCCACTTGGTTCAAAACATAATTTCAGTGTACATAGGCACGTATATTGCTCTTCATTTGGTTTCTGACACATGTCAAACACAGTAAGTGCTTTCTTGGGTTGCTGAGATGATCTGATATTGAGACCTACTTAAAAGAAAAGTGTATAACTTGAGTATGTCCTGGCAGCTTTTAACATTTAAATGACATTTTCTCCTGTTCTTTAAATATGCAAATTTTTAGTCATGGATGAAGTTTTGTGAAGGTGCTGCCTCCTTTATATTCAAGGAAGATTTGGAGGCATTTCATGGTTTTATCCTCTGATATTTCTTATATTCAGATTAATTCCATTGAGTGTGGAAAACCAAGATGTAGGTAGACCAGAGTAAGGAATGCTGAGTGTGAGATGTTATGCTGGGGAAATCAAATTGTTGAGTGATGACACAGACCCAGCTTCCACTCTAGATTGCTGACAGGGAGGAAACATCTTCCTTACTGTGAATCATCCCACAGACGAGGTGTCTGCCAGTCTCTTTTTACTTGTAAGTATTTCAATTAGTCTGCTAAATGAAAGACACATTTCTCAAGACCTGCGAGGTCTGTCCAGTTTATAATAGCCTTCTGTGACTAGCAGCTCCTTTCTAGTGGCTACACACATCTCTGCAGCCACTTAGTGTCAAAACTGATGCAATTTTGTACAAATGAAGCAAAGGCAAAGCTGGTTTTGATGTGCATGGTGAGATAGAACCAGCAGGTTCTAGCTACAGGTTTAGCCAGGTTGCAACAGGGTGTTAGAGGGCAATTTTAAGTTGCCTTTTTTTTTTTTTTTTTGGCTTTCTACTGCTCATTATTTTTCTGCAAAGTAACACAGCATCCTTTGATCTCTGCCTCCTTTGAAAAGTGCTGGTGGTGTGAAAGACCTTCTCACAAACAAACTAGCGATTTGTTCTTCTCATAACTCTGTCAAATCAGCATTCTCCCTTATCTCACTTGGCCTCCTTGAGTCTTGTCGCACTTTTTATTTCTTCTCCCAGCGCAGGGTCTGGAGTAAACGCATAAAAGCATCAGCCTGAATTTAACTCCTTCTCCTCAGGAGTAAACACCTAAGAGCATCAGCCGAAATTTAACTCCTTCTCCTCAGGAGTAAACCCCTGAGAGCATCAGCCGAAATTGTGGTGATCAGCCTAAAATGAGGTGATACTAACAATATTGAGGTAGATACATATATTGAGGTAGATTCTAATATTGCTCCGTATTGACAGGAATCAGGGGAGCACATTTCACCCTCTCACTGAGGGAAAGATTTTTGTTTGGCTGATGGAAATCAGCAGTTGTGATGTGTTTTTGCTGTTTGTTGATGTCCTGCCTCTTCTGGAAGAGAGAGCGTTTTCCTTCCAAACACAAATACTGCAAAGAGAAAGATACAATGCAGGGAGCAATGCAAGTATCATGTACCTTGTAGCATTGAGATTGGCTGAGGCATCTACAAGAAACAGAAATTAAAACTTGAAGAATTAATGAATAAGTGCATTTCAGAAACCTTTGTTTTGCTTGTGTTTCCTCTCTGGTAGAACTGTCATTATTATCAATGTTACTGTTTATTTATCATTTCCCCCACTTTCTTTTGTTTATAAACAGTTGGTGGTTTTTTTATTTATAAAACAATGTTTTGTCTGTCTTTTCTAAAATCTTGGTGTTACAGAGCATTAAAGACAGCCTGGGGAGACTGCAGGGTCATGCAGACATTATTCAAAAGAAGAAGACACCAGCTTTGCAAAGTGCTACACCAAAGGAGGCAGCAAATGTACAAGAAAAGCTGACTCAGCTTAATTTTCAGTGGGAGAAAGTTAACAAGATGTACAGGGACCGACAAGCGTAAGTAACTTCTGAAAATTGCTGTGCCCAATGCGTCCATTAATATTTGACCTACTGCTGATGTTTGTTTTCTAGTCTTCTTTTTGTGGTAAAACCTCTTAATGCCACTAACAATACTTGCAACTAAGCATGCAATGTTTATATGGAAGTGTAATTTAATTTATGAGGAGCTTTGTGAAATTGAAACTATTTTGACCAACTCCCACTTGCATTGGACCAAGAGCTGGCATCATGTTGCAAACATACTCCTCTGTCATTACAAATGGCATACCTTTACCCTAAGATGGTTTTAGGCATTTAATCTTCTATACCTTTATTATTGATTTAGAAATCTGAATGTCATGGGTGCATCCGAGTAAAACCCCTTTAATTGCAGAGGATTTATGAGTTCACAGAGCAGTTCTCACTTCATGTCTAAAGAGCACTGCTAGAATTGTCAGTAGCTCTAAATTTGGTGTCATCATTTTAGAAATTTCTATATTACACTTTATACAGCAAGGCAGAACAATCAAAACAAGTATAGAAAAGCATTAAAATATAATAAATAAAGCTGTGATGTTCTGCAATATCACATAAATTTACTTCTCCTTGTATATTATTTCTGATGTTTGTAATCCAGAAGTCATACTATGATAGAAAATATAGCCAGACCTATTTGATATTCCAAACATGGCTCCTGTTAGTAACACAACAGAGTCTATCAACCCAGTGACTTAGTTGTACTCTGCAGTAGATAGCCAACATTTCCAAATTTTGGCTTTGTGCAGTAAAAGACATAGGTTTGTACTTCCTCTTAATTGTTTTAATTAGGTGATGTATTGGATGTTACTGGCAGTGATACAGAAATTGCTGTGATTTATGAGATATACCTTTTCAGTATGAGTAATTTAAGAGTTAACTCATAAGTTTGCCTTAGATAAAAAGTCATAGTTTCAAGCTTTTATTGAATTACCACAGAAACGTCCTTGAGAATTCTTCTGAGAATGTAAGACATTAATCTGATAATGAAAATCATTATACATACGACTAATTCCATTCATTGAAATTGTCCTTTCATAGGAATTTTACAAAACTGGCTCTTTGGACAATTTTGAAAACTTGACATTAAAGGTTTTACTTGATATGCTACCACAAAAAACCAATGGATTGGTGTCTGTTAAATATCCCTTTTTGCACTACTCATGTTTAGAAATATCACTTAGCTTAGAAAGTGTTCTTAAAAGCACTTTAATTATTCTAAAAAAAAATTACTTACTATCCAAATAATTATTGTGATGTATAGTAGGATATGAGTCTAACCATGTAAGCAGTAACTGGAATTAAAAAACAACACTGCATGTAGGTTTAGCCTGCACTGATTATGTCCTACAGTGCAATCCATGGTAACTTCTATGTTTTCTTTGCTTGGAAATATTGGTAAACAGCTGTCAGTTTGCAGATTTGTACTGACATATTATTTCCACTGTTAGCCAGTCACTAGCTTTGATTTTATATTAGTGGAGAGACAAGAGAGTGAAGCTTAAAAAACCAAAAAAATCAGAGAGTAAAAAGTCTATTTCAGTAATCTTCATGTTCTCTGCTTTGTCTCAACATTTAAAGTGTGAGAAACTGAGGCAGATTTATAATCTGGTAAGGTTTGCAGAGTCTCCCGTGCCCATTACTATTTTAAAAAATAATGAGCCTGGTTCTGTTGTGGTATGAAAAATTCCTGTCTTAGTCATGATGCCATGTGCAAAACTGACAGATGAGTTAGAAGCAGAGACTGAAGGAAAGCTATTCACACAGGTAGTAAAACCAGTGATATTGGTGGTGTGTTTTCCCAGACACTGGCTTTGCCCAAACTCTTACCGGTTTGGTAGACCAAGCCCTGGAAAACCTTTGGAATCTCCTAATATGCATTTTCTACCACTGGTGCATAACAAGGAGGATGATTTGCTGCTAGCTGAAAGCTTGCACTATCATCACTGGCACTCAGTTATTCCTTATTTAGGCTACAGTGCTATTTAGGCAGCAGCAGAAGTATTTTGAGCTGAAATGCTTTAGTGTTTGTCATGTATTTTGAGGTCATCAGATAAAGGCACAGTAAGTGTGATTATGTCCAGCTGGCTTGTGCCTGGGGGAGTCATCCTCTTAGTATGATGGACAGCACTCAAGGTGATGATAAGCTGGCTGCTTCTGAATCACATCTTTGTTTTTCTTTTGAGTCTTTTGTTTGTGGTGTCAGTCTCACTGTGTCACTGTTTCAGAGGTTTCTTTTGAACTGTAGATGGTCCCTATAGCTTCTGCTGGTTTGTGGGGTGAGTTTGGGCTGCACACCAATGCTAGGGAGGAGGTGAAGGAAGACAACGTGGCCTGTAGCATTTTACTTCTAGCAGTTTGTGCCTGTAAGGGGTGAAAGCATCGCTGTAACTCTGCCTTGAGAAATGGATGAAGCTGTGCTTATGAGATATGCTATTGATGATGATGTTTTAGGACAGTTTTGGAATTATTATTGGAGCTGTCTTGCTTTCAAGGGAGTGTGTCTAAGTGAATGTGAGTATTCCATGTTTGAAAGGTTACAGAAACAAATATAAGTATGTTCATTTCTGAATATTGGTTTTAGTAAATCTAAGACTTGTAATATCATGGAAATTATTATTTTAGTAAATGTAAAGTCAACTATCACCATGACAGATGGAAAAACTAAACGACTTTCCTTACTCCTGTCGTTTCTAGCAGAGAGCTTACTTTAAATCTCATAGGAAGCAGTAGAAACATTCATGTTGAATTCTTTCGTGTGAAATAGGTTTCCTGGAAGTCCTGATACTTTGTAATTAACTTTATAGTGAGTTCCTTTTAATTAGGAATCAAAATAGATTTTCATTTTGTGTTATAGCAGAGCACACACCAGTTTGACAGAAATACATTGTGATGGTAAGCACTCAAATAGCTTTACAAGTCCACTTCTTATACAGTATTTGAAAACCTTATTTCACATTGTCATTTTAGCATATTTCCTGTATTTGTATAATAATTCATATTGTACTTAATGTATGATAACAGGCAATACTTCACTGAAAAATACAAGCAAAAATGCTGTGATCCTCCTAGAGTACTCTTTCAATGGTTTTAGAAACCTAGGATGAATACACACTCACTGAAACACTAAACTTCAACCAACTCATTTTTTTAATACAAGCCTAGATCTAGCATGGATCTTTGACAGGAATGAGTTTATTTTCTGTACAAATTAATTTCAGAACGTGGTAATTGATCGTGTTTCCAACAGATAAATGGGGGTGGCATCCTCTTACACCAAATGGAATTTGTTGCCTTGGTTTCAGTTTTCTGAGTGCAAAGCACACACCAGGAAACAGCAGTGGCATGATTTGTCTTTTGTGAGCTAAGGAGGCATTTATTGTTTAATTTATAACTTCAGCCTTGGCTTTCATGATACTAAATTTCTATGTTATCTTTTCCAATAGTTGTATTAGTATAATACAATCAGAATTTTAAAGGTAGGGTTAAGTAAGTTTCAGTGCCAGTCAGAACAACCATTGAGATTCCATAGTTTTTCCTATCCTTGTACCAGAATTTCACAGTAGTCTTCCCCTTTTGCAGCAGTCTTAGATACTTGGGTTTTTTATTGATCGTGACTATTTAGGAAGTGACACTAACACCAGGTCCCCTATATATCTTCAATGAGAACACATAATATTTGGGGAAAAAATAAAGTTATTCCACAGGTAGTAGAAGATAGAGTTTTAAATTACTGTCTTATATAACTTTTTACCTTATCAACTTACCACTTGTGGAAGATCTTGTTTGTCTTTTCAGGATATTGTCTTCCCAGGATATTTATGCCTCAGTCTTGCTTCTGTGAACAGCTCATGCTACCTAAAAGTAATCCTTTCCAACACTGCCAGAAATCATTGAATCAATGAAGTGCAACAAAGTTTTCCAGAATAGACATTAATTTAAAATATTTCTGTAGCAATTGCAAGCCTCACACAGAGAATAGGGAAAAAAAAGTTAAATAATTAAGCACAAGGCAGAAGAAAATTGAAAAATACTCAAAAGAACGTAGTTTTAAAGCAAAACACTGAAATTTTAGATATTGTGGATCTTGAATGTTTTTGAATCTGTTTCTTGATTGGGAATTAAAATTCTAGTGGATCCCTCATATTAATGTCAAGCAACTAATTTTTGCCTTTTTCATGTCTTATTTAAGATTTACCTTCTACGGCATACTTTACAGACTAGATTAATGCTCACCTAATTAATCTCAAATGTGCTGAAATTTAAATGTTAGAGAATGTGGCAAGTTGATACCAAATGTCTTTTACAAAGTGTTTCTTGATAATTCTGAAAAATGAAAAAGAAAGTGATAAGCCAGTCTTACATCAGAAAAGATCACAAAGCCATAATAAGGGTAATAAAAGAGATCAGTGGTTTTATGAAAGTCCCAGACAACTAACAGTTTTTATAGTAACAGGGGCAAAACATAAAGAAGCAGTTAGCAGGCTTATACTAAGAATAGTTTTTGGTTTTGAACAGCAGTACAAGTGTCAAATATTTCTTAGTAACCTTAAACTAGCTGTTGATTAGCTTGGTAAAGCCTATTGAAAAATATTTGTTCGTGTGATCCAATGTTAACTGGCTTTGTTTCAGTACAGGGAGAAGAGCAACTAGTGGAAGGCCTAGGTATTCTCAGAGAAAGTCTTACCTAAGACTATTTGTTTGCATATTTCTGTTTAGGTTGTAAGTCTTGTTATTAGAATTACCCTTGGCTCAAGATTCGAGGTGGAAATAAAAACCAGAGCAGATTAGTTCATCCCCAATGAGAGAAGGAAATTATTCCCTTTCTCATGTTAATCTCAAAATAGCTACCATGCCTTAGTTACATGCAGGGTAGAGAGGTTTTTTCTTGCTTTCTCTCACAGTGACTCAAATTGTTCATTTGGATTTTGAAAAGGGCACCTTATAATGCTTACAGCCAACATTAGTTGCTAATACATTTC